AGACAATCCGGTGATCAACAGCATAAACATCCATCTACACAATTGGGATACGATGACATGTAGTCAACCAAGTCAGCAAGCATGACCACCCGATCCCATTAGTCGCCTCTTACAAGCATGGGTTGCTGAAGACCAATTCTAACCTGGAGCTTCAAGGGTATCCCCTTCCAGTACCCAGATCATCCCGGGTATCCCCTTCCAGTACCCAGATCATCCCGGGTATCACCATCCAGTACCCAGATCATCCCGGGTATCCCCTTCCAGTACCCAGATCATCCCGGGTATCCCCTTCCAGTACCCAGATCATCCCGGGTATCCCCTTCCAGTACCCAGATCATCCCGGGTATCCCCTTCCAGTACCCAGATCATCCCGGGTATCCCCTTCCAGTACCCAGATCATCCCGGGTATCCCCTTCCAGTACCCAGATCATCCCGGGTATCCCCTTCCAGTACCCAGATCATCCCGGGTATCCCCTTCCAGTACCCAGATCATCCCCATCCAGGTCATCACCATCCAGTACCCAGATCATCCCGGTATCACCATCCAGTACCCAGATCATCCCGGTATCCCCTTCCAGTACCCAGATCATCCTTCCAGTACCCAGGTATCCCTTCCAGTACCCAGATCATCCCGGTATCCTTCCAGTCATCCAGATCATCCCGGTATCCCTTCCAGTACCCAGATCATCCCGGTATCCCAGTAGTACCCAGATCATCCCGGGTATCCTTCCAGTACCCAGATCATCCCGGTATCCCTTCCAGTACCCAGATCATCCCGGTATCCCCCTTCCAGTACCCAGATCATCCCGGTATCCCTTCCAGTACCCAGATCATCCCGGTATCCCCTTCCAGTACCCAGATCATCCCGGTATCCCTTCCAGTACCCAGATCATCCAGGATATCCCTTCCAGTACCCAGATCATCCCGGTATATCCTTCCAGTACCCAGATCATCCCGGTATCCCTTCCAGTACCCAGATCATCCCGGTATCCCTTCCAGTACCCAGATCATCCCGGTATCCCTTCCAGTACCCAGATCATCCCGGTATCCCTTCCAGTACCCAGATCATCCCGGGTATCCCCTTCCAGTACCCAGATCATCCCGGTATCCCTTCCAGTACCCAGATCATCCCGGTATCCTTCCAGTACCCAGATCATCCCGGTATCACCATCCAGTACCCAGATCATCCCGGGTATCCCCTTCCAGTACCCAGATCATCCCGGGTATCCCCTTCCAGTACCCAGATCATCCCGGGTATCCCCTTCCAGTACCCAGATCATCCCGGGTATCCCCTTCCAGTACCCAGATCATCCCGGGTATCACCATCCAGTACCCAGATCATCCCGGGTATCCCCTTCCAGTACCCAGATCATCCCGGGTATCCCCTTCCAGTACCCAGATCATCCCGGGTATCCCCTTCCAGTACCATGTTGTTCTTGTCAATTCAGGCGATCCTTACAGTCCAAAATTAGACGTATAATTCTCCATATTTTATATCCTTTCATTGAACCTACCAAACAATCCAATTATTTTCTTAAGCAAGTGAAATGCTATATCAGGTTAGATATAGGAGAGATAAAGAGAATTTATTTCAATGATGAATGGGTCCAGATTATCTGTCATGCAATAGTACACATTGTAATCAATAATACACCATTCCTCATGGTAGAAGAGAAAGCAAACCTATCAATTTGGTTGAGAGTATTTTCTTTATCACAGTCAATAATCAATTCTAAAGAGACAGCTATGTTTTTGTTGATAACCTGTGAACATATAGCAATAGTGGTAAAATGATGCAGCATGTTTCTCATCATAGAAATGAGATAAAAACAACGTACAATCAGGGACCATGATAGTCATTCATAATGTACATCACTTGGACCAAAAACAAAATTCTTAGCCAATAAGCATATCTGTAATGCACCTGTATGACAGTTTCATGTGTGTCATTATACACACTTATGGTTCAAGGATACGAATAAGCCCCCAAAGACTCCATTAAAGAAGGGAATCCTCCTGGTGACAAAATAACTGTTCCATCTCGACCCTGCCTTTATCAACAGCATCATCTGAAAATAGACATGACACAGCTGTGTAACTGAACATGGTAGGTAGTCTCAGTTTCTTTGTTTCAGGTTCATTAATATTCCCGCTGTCAGTTTGAAAATATTCCAATCAGGACCTGACAAACCAGATCAGATGGTTAGGTTGGATGAAATAGTTCATTGAGTGTTACTGTTTTTGTATCCTGACAATATGGGGCAATGCTCCCAATATCGACCACTGGTTTCTGGTTATAAGCTGGTTATTTGATATTGCTGGAGTCATTGCTAATCACATTACAAAACAACATGAACATATGATCATTATGATAAATCCAAAATGCCAACAGTATCAGTCTGTGTACCAATAACTACCATCTAACGAGCAGACAATCTGCAACAATTATCTGTGTCAACCATTATTTAATGCAAGCAGGACTTCTTATTTAGGATCTGGCAAAGTATTTCTGTCCATGTAGAATGAGGAACATCATGCAGCAAATAATGTCCATGGTAACAATTCAACTTACTGACAACAGGAAGGCTGTGATGAAGTAGAAAGCAAAGCCGTATAGAGCTGTCAATCCCAGGATACCAGCCGTGGCCCCAGACAGTGCTGACAGAGAGGTACGGCAGTACTCAATGATGGACGAGTTTCCTCGCACTGCCAGTTCACTGTACGCCACCACATCTGCTGTTCATGAAACACACAAAACGGAGATCACATTGACTCAGCTTCAAGTTCATTTCCTTCATTAGTGTTTTGAATAGAAAGAGTAACATGGCTGAACAGTTTTAAACAGTATTCCAGCTATATCACCTGCATGTCATTGTCAACTTCAGCATGTTCATCATGGCAAATAAAATTCAAGGTGATGGTGGATATTAGGGTGGATGAGATTTCTTTGTTAGTCATTCTGTTGCCAGTATTGCTGATGTAACATGATGTAAAATGTAAAAGAACAAAACACTTTGAGGTTGAAGATGATACATTCGAGAATAGGTAAGTACTTCTTTCCCTATGGAATAATGTGCTTGAGAGTAATATCAACCAGATCTACTCCTATATAGACCTACACAGAAAGTACATGCAACAAATTCACAATATGACCCCTAGTGTACAGTAGGCAACCCTGTGCACTTAAAAGAACCCACGAATCCGTTGGTATATGACCAGATGGTGGCCACATGAATACGTGCATACCCCTAGCTGTGGGTACAGCAACGTGCAGTAAACTTGGACAAAGTACTGTGACTATATGTCCCAGTCCACCCAACTGTGAATGGGTACCTCATAAGGATGGGAAAGTGCAATAACTCAGGGCGCCTAGTGGCTGCAAGAGTTGTATGATCCTCAGAGAGTTGAGATTGATAATAAGATGTGCGGTTGAGACATCCAATGATCGAGAGCCTTGAGCATGCACTAGTGCATAGATATGTGTGTTATTATATATATAAATATCCAACAATAATAACAGTAATAAATATAACCCAAGTCCTGTCTCCTTGGGGTTCAGGTCGTGAGGTCTGACATAAAAAGTGATATACAGGTATACATGGTATATCAATAAGTTTAGCCATACATAGACACATCATTAAAAGGCATGAGTATATGTAACTTGGAGTGTCGCTTCTAATCATTAAATGAAGATATATGTTTTCATAAGGGGAGTAGTGCACTTTACCGGGGGCACTTTTTTTCAGATTAATTAGGTCTGCTGGGGCTCGAACACATTTCGCCGGATTACTGACTTCGTTAATTAGTGACGAAATTAGCGGACGTTCTACCTCGGGACCACAAGCACCATCCAAGTTAACTTAATGAGTGCTCGTTTAACAGGTCATCAGCACAGAAGTGACACGGAAGCGAGTGAAATTAAAACAACCATTGCGTTAGTACTTCCGCTGTGCCACGCCCTAACCCTAAGGATAGTAAAGGGTACCTAACCCTCAGGATCGAAAAGGGTGCCATACCCTAACCATAAACCCTAGGGACAGTAAAGGGTACCTAACCCTTATGATCGGAAAGGGTGCCATACCCTAACCCTAAGGATCAGAATGGGTGCCATAATCTAACGCTCAGGATCATAAAAGGTTCTTAGACTTTAAAGATGTGTCAGCTCCCTAAGGATCAGAAAGGGTAGTACCTAATGCTAAACCCTGAGGATGGTTGACCGGCAGTGAAGGGAGACGGAGCAATTACAGCGGTATAACAAGACAGTGCTGGAGACAGCACAGTAGCACAATAACTGCCCAGCAGCAAGCCGCGAGGGCTGCGCCCGGGAAAGTGCACTCTAGGCAATAAATCAAATGTAGACGTATAAAATGGTTCATAAAACGTTTTGCATAATAATTAGCCGACAGTCGCAGTTCTGGGCTAGATAATCATAAAATGACGGATAAAATGCTAAAGGCCTACAATAAGTGGATTTAATACGTTGTACAATGTAGATCTAGCCCCGTGAATATAGAAATTCTAACCATGCACCTGCACATACAGGCGAACAGTTAGTTGTAGCAGTACATAACTACGACATTGCTGGAATCAACTTTATACTGTAATCCACTGAAATTGGCGTTTCCCGCAAATCACGGATTAACGCATGTATCAAACCTCATGAATTAAAATAAAAGCCTATGTTACAATTCTACTTATGTTTCGGAGGTCAGATATCACACAATCACAGAGAGCATATGAGTTTACCCCGGCGGCTCTTTCGCGTGCGAACTGCTATGGTGGTCGCCATTTTCCTTCTGCGCGGTACTAGGATCACGGAAGTCAAATGATTGATGATTGGATATGTATCCAGTGATAATGTCAAACATCGTAATATATTAAAAAATAGCTCAAATACGATATATGCAAACATTTTATATTTTATACAGTAAATGTAAATACCGACTGCGAAGCTGTTACATTTGACCTACATCCGGTGGGAAAAAGTTTCGAAGGTAAACTTATGTTGAACGATTAATGTTTCGATATTGTCACAGCTTCATTGGAACTTGCGAGTGGTGACACCCAAAGTGTTTTTACATATATACATTTGGTATTCAAATAATGCTTTACTGTGTCATTTACCAATACATTTACTTATTCAGACAGTTTCCTCGTCGTTCTTGTCGAAGTTGACGTCTGCAAGTATATTGCAAAGAGCTGTGAGTGGACAGTACTGACAAGTGTTATGTGAATTGGCTGAAAAATATCGAAAAATCACAATGACAAGAATGGTGTGTCAGAAACCTATATCATAAGGTTGTTGGTGGGAGGTTCGAATCCGTAATACGTTTATTATGTTTCTTATGCTTATGCTTATGTTTTTTTTGTCAAAAAATAGTAAACTCCCAAGACGTTTGATTTTCCTCCCATAGCAAGGTTTGATAAGTTCACCCATTATTGTTGTCAGACATATTCACTAAATGATGACTACAGTTCAATGTAAAATGTGACCTACCTTATTTTATATCAATATTTGTCAGGCACTGGCAGATTATTGGAATTATCGTTAAGTGTGATTAACACATTTTGTTGCAAAACTGTACAACTGAATGAATGATTGTAATTGATTGATTTGATGAGAGGCTGCAATTTTTGTAAACTTTGCACTTTACACGCACCAATTTTGCACTTTGGTAAATGACTGTTTGATCATGCTGATAAATATTAATATATTTTGATATGCTGAGACAATTCCATGTTTATTTTAACTTAAATCAGAATAATCATTGGCAATGTTTGTTGGCCAGACTCAAGTATATAACAACAATTACTTGGACATGTTCATCCAACGTGATCTTCATTATTTATTGTTTACACTTTGTTTTTCAGTTATGGCCAGACCCCTTGTTAATGTGAAGTATTTAACCATTCAACACTAATAAGAACAACCGCAACATTAGATTATGATTTAATTGAGGTGCCTGTTTCTTGTGGGTTTTTTCAAGAAAAATAATATTATTTTGCCATGTCACAAGCTGCTAGCATGGTTAGTCATCATTGTCAATTTGTATTGATCTCTGTATCTGATGAAAGCAAGCATACATACATTGTTACTTGATTACATTGTGTGTCAGACGCCATTTGTAAAAGCATGTGTTTTTAGTTTTTGAAGTTAATATGATCAGTAAAGGGCTATTATCGTAACTGCACTTCTGAAAGTTAAACAGTTAGGTTTCCCCCTGATTCAAATATGACAACAGCAAACCTTGAGCACCATAGTTCATGCCTAATACATTATTATACTGCATAGAATGAAGAATATTATGGTATAAATCATCCCTATAGGGCAGTTGGATAAAGATAATTCATATTATTATGTGACAGAAAACTGATGTAACAAATGCCCTTGGTGAGACACAAAAACATGAAGTATAGTTGCATTGATTGTTCATCTAAAATCATTGTTTCTTGTGATTTTGATGGCGTACATGGTCTTAATGGTTAACAATACTTTAATGCAAGTAAACAAATCCACATGTACAGGGGAGACAACTGTGGCAGGCCTATGATCATAAATGCCTGATGGCTTTGTCTTGTCTTTGTTGTGTATACATAGATGGTATTATATTAATGACAGGAATCTACAGCAAAATTCATAAAACATACATCTTTCTTGCCATTCCCCTCCCTCCATCCCAGGCTTGATCTTTGCTCGCAGAGGGTTATTTTGCTGTGTATCATCAATTTTGTTTTGAACTTCATTACAGGTTGAAGTTCAGAAATACAGTGGTAACCATGTAATGGTTGATCAATCTTAGCCGAAGAGCAAAACCTTTGAAAGAATGTAGATTTTTACAATTTTTGAATGCTTCTTTAGCATGTTTAAGAGAAAGGTTGTTGATATACCATACATTAGAGGCATTATGATTTACCCACATATTCGGTGCACTGAACCAGATCCCTTCATATTTCAGTTGGTAAAGAATTGAATATTCATTCATTTTTAAAAAAGGAGTGTTTTTACTTGAATTGGGTGTTGTTATCAAAATGAAACGTGAAAAATATCATATATCAAGGTAGGATAATAGTTAACGCTCTAGTATGTGTTTAATTTGACAGTAATGTGGTCACAGGTCAACACTGTATGTACATGCTGAATCATCATGCTATTGTATTTGTTGTATTTCTTACCCAATATTCATGATATGTATCATATTCACCTCATATTGAATTTGTTGCAGCCCTAAAATACATGTCATTGACCAAAAATAAATACTAGTATATCTGTATTTGTAGTCATGCTCGACCACAAAATGGGAGTTAACTCTTGCATACTTCTGCTAGTGTTTTTATCACTGCCATGTTTGATGTGTCACTTCAGAATGTTTCCCAAACTAGTTTTTTATCAGAGTTTTTTACACCTGGATTATAATGAACCAAAGTAGGTTACCATCCTGACATGAAAATCTACTTTATGGTTAAGAATTGTTGAGGCAAAGGTTGGTTCAATCATGTTAACAAATGTTTTCAAATAGCACATTCAGAAACCCATTCAATCATGATATTAAAAAATATATTGCTATTTTGTCCCTTTTTGGAACAAGCGTGACTGGGGTTGTATTAGTTCACGATCATAGTAATGCATGGGATTACCCCATCAGTTTTATTTGAACAGACAAAGTTGATTCTTTTGAACCTTTACTGAACAGGTGAAAAAGGATGTTTTGATTTCTTCAACATGCATGTAGTTCATTTGCCTTTCTATTTTGCGTTAGGTAGGTGCTGTGGTGTAGCTTAGTGGTTAAAGCATTCGCTCATCATGGTGATGAACCAGGTTTGATTCCCAGTTCAGATGTCCCCTGCCATAATATTGCTGGAATAATGCTAAATGCACTGAGTGTCACTCCCTTCAAAAACAAACTTTAGGGGGTGTATGAAAATTTAAGATTAAAAATAGAAATTAGAACAACTGATTTTGGATGACAAAAAGGGTAAAAATTTGTTGTTAAAGATGCATGAAAAAATACTTCACAATTTCATTGTTTCTTTCCCGTGTTGTTGTGCTCTGTTCAAGTACAACTATTGCTGCATTGAGAGGCTGAGTGACAAAACCATATACACACTTACTTCTAGGGCTGGCTGTAGATGTAAATCACAGAGATCAACAATTCTTGACTAAATATTGATCAATCATTGCAAAATATTAGAGAAGTAACTGAGGCACACAAAAAATCTCTGAAAGAAATCAATCATATTTCACATCACTGGTAAGTGGTGGCATATTATGCTTGGATTACTAACAAAACAGCGTCATGGACATAATTAAAAATTAGCCCATAGATATAGACGTAGTGTTGTGTAATCTTGTGAGTAAATTTAAAGTCTAGTTTTCATCACAATAGTTGATTTACGATATTATCAAGGACACAATTGTCATATTGATAATAATTAATTAGTATTAATGATATTTCCGCTTATGGATAATTTTAGCCAGCCCTACTTAATCCCTTCTTTGAATATCCACTTGATAAAATAACTTGCATTGTTATTATGAAACAATATTTTCCAGTTTGATTCAGCAGGATTATATTTATCCAAGAGAGCAAATGGGTTGACAAAAAACTTTTGACAAGATATTTTGAGCAAATGGAAATGTGCGACTGACAAGAGATGAGAGACACACAGACAAGTACAAACATCCTTGGCTACTACCTCCACCATTATTTTTTGATGATATATAAATCTTGACAGAGCAGTTCAACATGATGAAGGTATTAAACAAATTATGTATATAAGTCAAAATGTTATTAGGATCCATTAAGCATGTAATGCATATCTGTTTTTAACTGAATTGTCTGTAATAACACTTGCAAGGCTACCTGGGTTTTGCTTGTACAATGATTAATAAGTCTTTCGTTCTTGGTAATCATGGTAATGGCCATCAGCATGGTTAGAGTTAGGTTTTTATTGCTTAATGGAATTCCAGTGTAGTGTTTCCTTAGATCAAGACTTTTGAGTTACAGTGAACATATGCTCATATTTAAAAACACATCTCCCCATGGAAGGTTAGCCTGGGATTACAAGACGCAACTGAGAAGAGCAGAATGTTTACATCTACCTGTGACTCATAGCACTTATCAGTGTGGCTCCGGGAACTTTCAGTCAGACTCTGGCATACCATGGTGTACCTCAAGTAGAAGTCTGGTTATTGAATGATGCACTCAGGGTCAGCCCCAAACCCTGAATGTGTGGATGGGGTGTGTGAAGGGAAATGGGAATAAGGGGAGTTGGGGGTAGGAATGAAGATGGGAGGTAGGGAGTACAGGAAAGTTTTTGTTATCCAGCTTTTGATCTTTGCCCCACTTATCTAAGGTGCCATAATTTGCAGTGCAGAGCAGTGTTACTTAGGCATGCCAGAAACTGAATCCAAGATTTGCTCTGATTAAATTTGTAGGTTTGTCTGCACCATACTCGTGTTTGTGGATTCCAACATCGTAATCGTATAACCTGACAAGCATCACTTTGCACTGTCCCCAACATCAGGCGGACATACAGTGAAATAATGTGCAAAACAGCATTAACCAAATGATACTCCCTCACTCACTCATTTAACATGGACAATCAGAAGGTGATGACAAACGGTTGATTCAAAATTAAGGCATATTTCTGTTGTCTAAGTTAGTCCCAAGTGGATTGCATCTGTCGCGAGAATTCTTTTTCTCTATCTTTGCTTTCTTGTGATCTGATGATCTGAACTGGAAGAGATTTCTAAGAATCTATATGTAAATGAAGATTTACTAATAGTTATTATTGCTATCAAGTTAATTTGTGATATAAATTGATAGTGATGTGCTGAGACCTTGATACTGGCAAGTGAAATATTACTGTTTGCAGTTTCAGTATGGCATATAAGTGACAGCATTGTTTTGAAGCCTGGAATGAATTCTTTGGCTTTAGACATGGTAAAACATCTGGAATCCTAAACACGTACAACACTGTTACTGTCAGAAAGTTCTCTGTGTCCCCATTTTCTTTCTGTTTAATAATTTTGGAAAATCTTGTCGTGAATGCGGATTTAGAGGAGATTTCAGATGCAACATATTGTAAACT